CACACACACACACACACATACACACACACAGATACACACACACACGCACACACACACACACACACACACACACAGATGCACACAGACACACACATTTACAGATGCAGACAGAGCAATAGTGGTTGGATGGACACACAAAATGACGTTGCTCTCACACACCCGACAGTGACTGAATGACTGGTATTGAGTGATTTTTTACACCTGTTTGTTCTTTTGTCTGTCTGTTTGTCTGTCCAGGTGAACAAGACCAAGACAACGGAGGCTGGCTGCGGCACTGTGGTGCCCATGATACAAGACTCGGGCTCTCGGCTCACCTTGGTCGTGTGTCGCAACCCTCTCCTCCGGCTGACGCACAACATGAGGGAGGAGATGGTGGGAGGAGGAGGGGAGGAGTGAGGAAGAGAGACAGTGTGTGTGGGTGGGTGGTTGATGGGTGCTCCGCTGTGGTTTACTTCCTCCTTATCAAACATACATTTTGGTTGTGCACACAAACACACAAACAAGCTCATCCATGTGGGTGGCTGTCAGGTGCTCTGCTGTGCTTTGCTTCTTCTTTCCTATCAAACATCTATCATCCTTATCTCTACTCCTTCTTTTTTGTGTTTGTTACTCTCTTGTTACACCTCTAATCTTCCGCACTTATATGACCTTATTGTGTTGCAAGTGCCGTAAAACACTTACTAAAACTGAAACTAAAACTGATATGTGGATTTGCAAACACATGAATTGACAAAGCTCATCCAGTGTCTCTTGCAGTTAGTTTTGTCTATATTTCGTTTGGCTAGACGTTCTGTCGACTACTTCCCTAGCTGCCCTGCTGGGGACACATAGACTACTGAAGCTGCAAGAGACTGGATCATTGGAGGAATCGCTGAATAGTTGTGGGTGGTTGGAGGGTGCCACTAGTAGGTCCCAATTGTCTTTTCTGTACCTCTGTCGTTTCTGTCTTTGCTTCTTCATTTTCCCCTGCACTAAATGACCGTTACTGAGTAGATGGGCATCTCTTTACTCATTCTTGTTTGAAATAGCCTCACTAAAAAACTGTACCCCCCTCCAGGGCAGTGCTACTGACTGAAGTTGTTTTTAGGCCATTCCCAAAGGGGAGATATTAACATGTTCTTATACACATTTGAATTGTAAATGGGCTGATTTATCAATGTCATGCTCATACTGTGCTGGAACAACATAGGGGAAACTGATGCTTTTTGTTTCCTCATCCTTATTTTCGTCATTATTCCTCTACTTCTTTTGTATGTTTGTCACTCTCTTGTGAACTGTTATATCCGGGTGCCTTGATAGTCGAAGCAGACTTTGTGCTGTTGAGGCTAGAGAGGTGAGCAGAGTAAGTGTGATTCCCTGTAAGGACTTCTCTGTTGACATCCACCCCTTGGCGCTCATATGACCTTATGCAGTTGCGAGTGCTGTAAAACCTCTACTAAAACAAACAAACAAAAAACTGTGCAGGTTTAGAGAAGGGTCTGGTACAGGAAGACGTCGTGTTGCCTCACCTTTTGTGACTGGGAGGCCTGTCCCAGGGTAGTGGCCGGCATCTGTGCTTGTCAACCGCTATAGGCGTTGTGCTGTTGCACGCACGAGACCTGAGTTAGAATAGTGAGTGGGAAGAATTTTTATTGAGTTATTCATGTCTTTCTCCTGGGATGTTGTATTCCTCTCCATGCTGGTTGGTTCTGACAGTCAGGGTCGGAGCCTGCCTCGTAAATGATCTAAATTGTGTCATTGGGGGAGGAAAACCATGTGCATTTGACCCCCACCACCCCACCCCACACACACACACCTTGTCCCCCTGTGGCGTGGGAGGAGTCTTTGTGATGATCTAGTCAATTGGTCAGGACCTTTATATCTCAACCTCAAAGCTCTGCCGTAGTGTGCTCCTTCTCTCCTATCAAACGTCTATTGTCTATTGCCTCTATCTCTTCTTCTTTACTTTGTATGTTACTCTTTAATGACGCCTCTATTCTTCGTCCGTTTTCTGACCTCGTGTTGCAAGTGCAGTAAAACTTTCGCTAAAACTGAACTGAAAACTCCGCCTCAAAGTAAAAGTCAGAGGTGAATGGGTGCCATCTTTGTCGTGAAATCCACCACGTCTGGGAGACTTGTGTTTCCTATTGAACCTTTTTTTACCCAATTTCATATTTCGTTGTTTATTTTCTGTGAAAATTGGAAAACGCATTTTTGTGATGGTTGTTTTTTATTGTCCAGAGTATGGGTGATATTTTGGGTAGTCCCCCAAAAAAGGTTTTGTTTTTTTTGGTCTATGTTGAATGGTATGCTGTTGAAACAAGCGTCTGTGGTTTGCTCCTTCTTCCCTGCTAAACGTCTATCACCCTTTTCTCTCCTCCATCTTTTGTTTGTATGTTACTCTCTGGTAACACCTGAAATCTTCAGCACTTTTATAAATGTCTGTGTTGCAAGTGAGGTAAAACTCTTACTTATTAAACTAAAAATGAAGTTGACCAAATGAAATCCTTGAGAGCCTTTATATGGTAGAGCAAAGCTTTGTCCTGACAGATGTCAAGATTTACCCGGCTCGCTTTTGTGTTTGTCTGTCTGTCTGTCTGTCTGTCCTTGAGTGTCTCGTGAAGCCGTCGATACGAAATGTTTCATTATATTATATGTAAAAAATCAGCAAAAAATCTCATAATATGTACATAGGGATTATTTAAATATCTGTGTGCTCATCGTTTGTACATTTTTGCTCAGTTGTATTGGTTCTGCATACACTAGCCTCCCCCCCGGCGGTGCTACTGACACATGGTAGAAAGTTGGGCTCTTGTGGTCAGTTACATGCTGTAGACACTTAGACCATTTCTTACACTAGGCTGTCCCTGCGGTTTTATCCAAAAAATAAAATCTGAAATTATGCAAACTGAGCCCAAAAATGTGAAATTATGCGAATCTGTTAATTTTAGCAAAAAATGATAAAGGAAAATACTCCGAAATTATGAAAAAAATGATAAAATTTTTGCTAAATTATATGGGGTGCATAAAACCGCGGGGACAGACTAGGATGCAGTTCAATGTTTCCCGCAAACTCCCAGTATTATGTTGCTGTCATGTGCAATTCTTGACCAGTCCAATGTTCATAAAACCTTTTACGCCCGACTCACGTGTATAGAAATCTGGGCTTGGCGTGTAGAGGAATGTCTTTGAGATATTTTTCCATGATGAAAAAATGTTTGTTTTCCTGCATTACTGATTTGAGATGCCATAGTTGTTGTAATTGTTTATTGACAAG